AATACATCAACTGATAGACACTATCACAATTAGGTAGCATTATGTTTGGCATAAATAACATTGGATATATCTGTAACACATACATACATTCATATGCTTGATGGAGCGAGACAGCGAGAGAGGGTGGGATGGGAAGAGAGTGAGTGAGTGAATGTGTGTGTGAGAGCGAGGTACAGAATACACCGACTACAAAACGGATTGTTATTAACTTTTTGTTGCTTTTAGTTTATATTGCTTACGGATTAGTAGCGGGCAAGAGAGAGAGTGACAGAGTGAGAGAGTGAGAGCGAGAAAGAGAGTGGGGGAGGAGGAGTTTGGTTAGTTCTTGAGATGCTGATATCATAGCACGGATTATTGGATTGGGTTGCGGTACGGTAAAATTTTTTTTTTTTTTTTTTTTTTTTGGGAGAATTGAGAGGTTACACACACACACACAGACACACAGACAATGCAAGATAGTACGATTAGCAATCATAACGTTAGATAGTTGCTTGATTAGTTAGTTTAGTTTAAGTTGTAGTTAAGCTTAGTTAGTTGGGTTCTTGTACTGTATGTTAAAGCTTGAAAAGCACCGTTCCTCTTAATGCGCCGCAATGAACAGTAATATGCCATAACGGCACGCAGACTCTTCCATTTGGTTGTCTGATTTTGATTGGCGCCATTTTTGTTGCTGTTGCTGTTGTTGTTGTTGCTGCTGCTGTTGCTGTGACTGCTAACCAGCTCCTCGGGATGCTCGCTGATAAACGAGGAGAGCGTCTTCACCTGCGTGCAGCTGGCAGAGCTCATTAGGCCCCGGCTGCCACCGGCCTCGCCCTGTCCCGCCAGCGAATGACAGCTGCCATCCGATGCGGGGCTATTCAGATGCAAGCGCACCTGTCGCCGCTGACGCGGATGTTGTCCATGTCTGTGTGGCAACGTTTCCAGCTGCTGTCGCTGCTGTTCCTGTTGCTGTTGCTGTTGCTGTTGCTGCTGCTCTGCCGTTAATATAAGTCTATCCCTCTCTGTGTACAATCTTAAACTATTTGTGCAGCGGCAATTGCTCTGCCCGCTGGTCAGCGATGAGTTGCCCGATCTTCCAATGGGTAAAATTTTACGTTATACTTATATACCAACAGAATATGCCAAATAACAAGCTACATTTACGTCTCTATATGGTACAATGCATGCCCTTGCAGTTTGTTCTCCTGGCTGCCCTTAAACTGTTTTTGACTTGGCCAAAAATCTGATCAAGAATTTCCTTTTTCTTTGAAAATCCAACAAAGTGCTTGATACATCACATCATAAAGCCTGCACAGCTCTTATGATCTTTGTAAAATCGAATATCTATGCCAAGATTCCTGCTTAGAATTCTATAGAAGGACCTTGGATTTGGGGAATAGTATTGAGTACTTTTACAATTTTAGTTTTTATTTAAATATATATATATATAAATATATATAGATAAATATTCAAGACATTATTTGTTTTAGACATTCAGTTTATATCTTAAGTTTCTTCTCAGTGCCTTTGAGGCATAATTGCAAATTTTATTTTAATTACATTTTTAAATTAATCTATTAATTTATGTATTAAACAATATCATATTAAAAGCAGCAGCATATAACTTTTTACCATCCACGCAGATTCTATAGCAAAAGCAAGACAGGCATATTTGTAGGGTATATGGACAATGGGTATACCAGCACTGACATTCATTAATTAGTTTCTCGACTTTTTGTTCATAATAATTAAGTCAATTTGGCTGTAATAAGTTGCAGTATAACAAACATTTGGGCGTCGCAGTACATCATTCTGCAAGGGTATGCATGCTTCGGTGTGCCGAATTCTTGCTGTTCACATTCAGTTTGTTTTGGTGTGTAGTTTGGGGATTTGTGTGCATGCGGGTACACGGTATCGCTGCAATAACAACGCCCAATATCCAATACCAATCCCAATGCCACTTACAATTTCAATCCCATGGCCCAATCAGGCAATAACCCAAAACTGTTCGATACACACACACATAACCAAACGCCCGCCCATACACACACACATACACACACACACACATACATACATGCACAATTGGCTTACAAGTTTTGGCCAACAGCCATGACATAATTCACTTAACTAAAGCCCATTTGGGTTGGCATTGGCAAGGATTTGCAGCGAATACCACGTAAAGCTGCCCGCAATTGCCGCCAAAAAGAAAACCAGGCTTCGCGAGGGCGAGAGATAGAGACAGGGGAAGAATGAGGGAGGGGGAGGGAGGGCGAGAGAGGGGCAGTCGTGGAGCCGGAGTTGTCAACCAACTAATCGTAACTGGCAAATGGGTCTCCAGGGTCCGGAGGTTAATACATAAAATCACTGAACAAACTAAACAAAACTCTACACACGCCCACACGCATACACACCCACCCACACACACACACACACACACACACACACACACACACACACACACACACACACACACACCCAAGCGCACACACAGTTCCAGCTAATTATCTTTATTAGTTAATTTCCGTTATGTCCACCACAAATCAGAGAGAACTCTCTCCGTGCACATGTATGCCGTTACTGTTACCGTTATAGGAACGTGTTAGGAAACAGTTGGGAGCTATCTATCGGCGATCGTTGCATAACTGTACCCGCCCTTCCCCAACCTAGTTATATTATTATTATGAATAATATTTGTATATTATATTATTAATATAGATTATTGTCATTATTATTATGAGTTGTATTAGTATGATTATTAGTGTTAGCATCATTATTAGTATTAGTATTATTATTGGTATTTTGATTATTATTATTATTGTTATCATTATAATTATTAGTATTATTAATATCATTATCATTATTATTAGTGTAGTAGCATTAGTATATATACTACTGTTATCATTATTCTTGTTATTATAATTATTAGTATTATTATTATTGCTATTAAGATTTTTATTTAAATTGATAATACTCATATCACTATTATTATTTTCATTGATTTCACTTTTATCCTAATCTAGGCCTCTCCCATTTTTCATTTTTGTCAAATTGTGGATTCCTTTAAGTTTTCATCCTATATTCCTTGTTCTATACCTTGTTGTTTATTTAATTGGGGTTTTCTCTCCCATATCGACTTATTCTCCTTTTCAATAATGTTAATAAATGTTTATATTAAAAAAAAAAAATTAAAGTTTGCCGAAGTCTGTCTAAGTCCTACCCGTCTCTTATGCGGCTGACTCTGACGTCAGTTTCCCCAACAAATGAGCGAGTGACTGAGTTTTCATTGATGTGAAAACCGCTTTATCTCTTATTAGCAGACCAGGCGGGCCAAGAAGTATAAATTACAATTACAGTGAACCCCTGTCCACATTGGCCTGAATGCACATGTGCTATTATGGCCTGAAGATGTTTGAGCACCTGATAACTGCCGCATTATGCTCGATAATAAATGCATTATCTTTAATGTCAGCTATATAAACGTAACTTAATCGCAGTTACCTTGCAGACAGTCAGAGCTCTGGTTCGCTGGATGCTTCGAGTTTATTTTCACACCTAATCCAGCTAATTCATGCACTCTTAACTCCATAATTAAAACAACACAGTCATGACACGCTGCGAGTTGTTTAATTTGCCATTAGCAGGACCCCCACAGCTACCCGACCCCGAACCCCGCAACCCGCACCCCGCGCCCCGCACGCACGCCCCGACAACCACACACTCAAAGTCCCAGCATAACAATGACAATTTAATTGACGCTAATTGCTGTTGAATTAACCAAGCGATAACAGATCTATTCAGATCTGATTGCCCGCCTTTTTTCCCACTGTTTATAAAGCATATATATATATATATATATATATATGCATTTTTATTTACCAATTTGTGTTGACAAATACGAGTTAAATGCGTGGAAAAAAAAAACTAAAATGAACGAAAAAATAGAAGAAAACTTAAAAAAATGGTTTGTGTGTGTGAGTGTGTGTGTGTGTGTGTGTGTGTGTGTGTGTATACAAATAGTAGCACGAATACAAATACGGTTACGAGTACATGTATGGGGCAATATGTCAATATGTCAATACGCGGCATCAATAAAAATGATAAATCAGAAGCAGCTGCGAAGCCCAACAAAGTATGCTACGATTTTTTACTTTCGGTTTGCTTATTTTATTTTTTACTGTTAGCAATCAATTATGCGCTTACTGTGTAAGTGTGTGGGAGTGTATGTGTGTGTCTGTGTGTATGAAGTGTAAATTATTGTAAACACTGCTCAAGTCTTAACAGTAGGTTATTTTAATGGCCATTCGCCATGTGTGAGTGTGCACTGTAAGAGCGCATTTCAATTATTGTTTATCATGTGAGTTATATTTAATGCATTTAATACCCTACACTCGCAAATACCCCCGCTCTTATTGTGGCATTATGTCACTTGTAAAAAGTGTGAAATAGTTGAACACAAGCATGTTTCATGCCATTTGGTCCAAAGTTTGGAATCCAAACGTACAAACAGATGTTTGCCCTTAAGGAAGCTAACTTAACTGGCAAATCGAATCAAATATCTTTTGAGTAAGTTAAGATTGTTGTAAAGATTGTTGCTATCAAAAATCTCATAGGCACTGGCACTATATAAAAAGAATATATATTTTAAGTTAAGATTTTGAAAGATATATAAAGATAGAATATAGCAAATATTGCGCTTAACTGGGCTGCTGTCTACTTCATATTGATTTAGTAAAAAATAAATTTGAATATTTATGGAAGGGTATTTCGAGTGCGTCATACGAAAGTTTTGGTTTTAGTTTTAGTTTTAGTTTTGGCTTTCAGGTTTTTATGTTGATTGTTGTAGTTATTTGTTAAGCTTTTAACTTGTCACTTTACAAAAGATACAATTTGTACACAATTGTATGAGTGTGTGTGTGTGTGTGTGTGTTGGTGTTGGTGTTGGTGTTGGTGCGTATGTGAGTGTGTGTGTGTGAGTGTTTGTTGTGAATGTGGCTGTATGCTGTGTGGCAGAAACTTACCGCTGACTGGGACTCTTGCTGTCCGAAGAATGCGCCGCACTGTTATTGTCATCATCGTTGGCCAATGCGGCAGCTGCTGCCGCTGCCGCAGCCGCTGCCGAGGCGCTGCCGCTTTTGTGGTGACGCTTGTGATGGCCGCCATCCGTTGGGGCATTGCTGGCGCCGCCTCCTCCGCCGGAGCTGCTGGTGCCCGTTGGGCTGATGACGTCCGTGTCGCTGTTGCAGTCGAGCCTGGCCATATCCTTTGGAAACTTGCCGCCATGCTCGTGCGTTTCCATCTGAGAGTAAACGTTAAATTAATAGAAGACAGAGTCTGGCCAAGACGCCCTTCGATTGCCGATTGCCAGTAATTCAACGCCTCGGGGCTCGGTTGGGCAATGCGTTAACTATGCGCACATTAAATAATCATATTAAAGGCGAGCAGCTGCACTGTCCCCCCCCCCCCCCTTTCACGACAGCATTATTGGCACGGCCACGCCCCCATACTGACATTGGCGCATAATTAAAATTAAATTTTTGATTACTTCTGGCAAAACACTGGCGAAAGTATTAAAACTTCTACATCAAATAACGAACCGAGAATCGAGATGAAAACACGCCGAGTCCAGGGCAATCGCAGAGGCAGCTTGTGGATGGGGACAGCCCACCCGGGCGATGGTAGATGTAGGGTTAGGTGGTGAGGGGGACGAGCGGGTAGGGGGGGCGGGGGATGATGATGGTGTTATGGCAGGTGGGCCGCTGTAAACTTATTTTGTGTCTGCTTCAAGTTTCTGGGTATTCAACTTGTGCACGTTCCGTTGCCCATGGATTCAGCCAAGAAAATGCCATTCCAGAAGTTTCAACATGTTTTTGGGAAGTGAGAACAGATCAAGAATTTGTGCAAATATATTTATATATAGATATAATTAAAATGAAAAGTAAAAGGCGAAAGCCGAACAACAAACAAATGAAATATTAATGAGCCCCTTTCAAGTATTATTGGCCAAAAAAAAAAAAAAACTGAAATGGTAAGTGCGAAAACACAAGGGATTTCGTTTCCCACACGTTTCACGACATCAACAGCAAACGCAAGTGATTTACAGTTTCCACATGTTCCACAATGGATAAGAGGGACCAGTTCCTCAAAACTATATATTAGAAAGTCTTCATCTCTAACTATACACAAAGAACCACGAATGATTATCACAAACAATAAGTAAAGCCGATCAAGAGAACGTTCTATTCCACATGTTTCACAATTAAGAAAAGTAAAAGAACATTGTAAGTTTGCAAAAGAAGATCCAATTTTATATGTTCCCTTGTGAACATAATCAAATTCGTAATAACATATAAGTAGAAAACTAACAAATTTTAGTTCATTTCACTACGTTAAGCATAAGAATGAGATTTCAATGCCAATCGTACCCCACGGAATCTGAAACGGAAACTAATTTTCAAGCATAACCATAAAAGACTCTCACTCTCTCTCTCTCTCACCCTCTCTCTCATTCTCTCTCTCTCTTTCATTCTGGTAAAACAGAAGATTGAGTAATTGCGTTTTAAATTCCACACGTTCCGCAAAAGCTCTTAATTAAACTGACACAATAACAAAAAACACATTTATCAAAACATTCCACCAGGCCATTTAATAAAGTTTTCGTGTGGTTTAAGACCATGAGCACGAGAACTGGCACAAATTTTGTGCCTAATTGCCAAACCGATGAAATGCAGCGAACATTTTGCAAATTGTGTGCGCCTTAATGGAGGCACAACCGCATAACATGTCCACCATTGGGATTGGGCCTGTTTTGCCTTGTCGTCGCCGACCAATTAGCTGGCAGCGCAAATCTCCACTCGCGAGAGCTTATCCTGGGCTTGGAGGCTGTGCGTCGGATAGCTCGGGACATGGCAATTAAATGTGCCGCAGAGCTTGATTGAAATTCGTTGTGGCTTTTTTGGCTTTTGGGCAGCTGTAAAATGGGCGCAGTGTCAATTTCATAAATATTTATGGGCCTTAGTTTGGAGTGTTTGAAAAGTAAAGTATGTCTTCCTCACTCTTTCTCTTGCTCTCTCACACACACCCACGCACTTTCCTGCGCTCTATTTTTTACTCATTCTGGCTAGAAATTGAAATTGACTTATTTAGGCGCTGTTAAATCGGATATGCTCCAAACTGTCGTCTATGTATGCCCAGATTACGAGCAATATCCGTCAATATCCTGCCGCATAAACCTACAAAAATGTTCAACTCGCATCAGAGTTTCATGGCAAACAACTTCTGCATGGCTGCATGTCAGCGATTCAGGGATATTTTTATTGGACGCAACTCGACCCAATTCCCATACAATGTGATATTCAATCGAAACCAATCAACATTGATGCCACCAATAGCAAATGCCCTAAAAAGTCAGAGACAAGGAGAGATAAGCTGACAACTAAAGCGAGAAACATAGTGACTAAAAATATATACTTCTTTTGATATTTGTCAACTCAACATATTGTGCACAAGGCTGGTAAAGGAGAAATGGACAAGATAACAAGAGAGAAGCTTAAGCTTACAACAATGAAGATAAAAGCGAAAAAAGAAGCTAAGAGTCGAAGCAAGAAGCGAAATGGCAAGTAAAAAGCAATAAGTTAAGCTAGAATACAGTGAGAAGCACAACATTTTGTATTATTAACAAAAAAGCGAACAACTAGAGCTACAGTGGACAGAAAAGCGAGCAGGGCAGAGAGGAAGAAGCGACTTAAAAAACAAACCAAGCCACCTGGAACGCGAGACCAGAAGCTAAGAGTGAAGAAGTTTAATCAAGGCGAAGAGAGAAACTTTAAAATGAGAAAATAAAAACAGAAGGATAAGCAAAAGTTAATTCTAAGGCCTTTTAAGGCAATGCAAGCAAAAAAGAAAGTGAAGCGAGAAGCGGACTGATAGTGGACAGAAGCAAATTGAGCTGTGCAGCGATATGACAAACTTTAATCGAGTTGAACGTATAGAAAATTGAAAATGAACGCGGATTCAAAAGCCAATCGGCAAGTTAAATCAAAATGAAGCCAAAAATGACAATTGATAAAAGGCCAGAAGCGCAAACTAAAGGTAAACAAGAAGCACGACAAACCTCCAAAATCCAGCGAATCGATAAACAATTTTTGTCTGTGAATAGGCAAAAATATGCAAATATTTAACTCGCCAGCCGACGGACAATTTTGTAATAAGTATATGAAATGAAAACTTGTAACGCTTCTCGCGTGTCGCAACGCTTCGCTTCTCGCTTCACGCTTTACAATGGCCGCTTGGGTTACATAAATAACGTAAATGAGGTCGAAGAACAGCGCGCCAGGCAACTGCTACCCTACACAATAGATCTATAAAAGGAGAAACGACCCCCCCCCCCCCTGCACCCCCACCAGAGCACTTCATCCTTTTTTGTGACTCAATGACAAGCCAACAAAAAAGTGTACATAAAATAAAATTATGGACCACAAAAATTTGTATGCTTTCATTTGAATGCTACCACGTAACCATTGAAAAGGGCATGCTGGACCCATCTGTGAGTCCGCAAGTAAATAATATATGTATATATATATATATAGATTCCAGATTGGTCCAGCCATGTCTATCGCTCGTCCGACTCGAGCTCAACTAGTATAGGAGCTGAACAGCATGGTTCTTTGCCTGAAAATCGATAATTATCGATTTAAAGTGTTGGCTTTCTCAGCTAGAGAGATATTTAAATGTATGTTCTTCAAAAGCAAGCACAGATACATTCACTTTCGACATAATAGACACGAGTAACGACTTTAGGTTCGGAACATTTTCAAAACTATCGAACATTAAGTACGGAAATGATCTATTTTTCAGAGATGATTAATTGTAGGGTAGATACGGTTGTTTGTAGCTGCGCACAGGGTATCTCCCGTCGGCCATCAGCATTGATTCATCAGCAAATGTTTGTTGTAGGCGGTAGTAAAATATATACTTGATCAGGACAAGGAGCTGGCCTTGGCAAATGCCTAATACTTGGAAGTTCACCCGTTCCGCACAAAGTTGTAAGGAAATTCAGTTTCTAGAGAGAGAGAGCCCTTGTGTGCTAGCTGAAAATTGCATACAGATCGGACTCTAAGAACCGAAGCATATTTAGTCGAGAGTTAGTCAAAGGGAGAAAGTGCACGTGTTTTGTGTACAGCATAGCTCGAGGATATCCGCTATTCGAGCAAAGCCAACTTTAGAACACTTCTTGTTTTGTGCTCTAGAACTCATTTGGCTTCTTTTATGATGTTGTTTACGAACAGGACTAGTCAGGGGGCGGAAAGGAATTGAACACTGTGGCCATGGTCGTTGACTTACCGTATATAGGCCCGTTGCAGTGGCCGCCGCTGCTGCCGACGATGAGGAGGAGGATGCGGCGGCGGCGCCAGTGCTGCCGTAATTGAGCTGCGAGTGATAGCCGCTGGAGAGGATCTTCTTGTGTGCGGATGCATGCGCCCGATACGCGCTGACGCTCAGTTTCATTGTCACATCAACTCAATGGCCGGGCCACAAGACCAGCGGTGCGCGGTGAGGTGCCCACGCAGACGCAGCCGACACTGCCAGCAGACACCAACAGACACCGCTGGTGTCCACCACCGCACCAGTGTGCGAGTGTGTGTGCGAGTGTGTGTGTGTGCGAGTGTGTGTCTGTCTGGAATTGGGCTTAATTGAGTGCCCAAAGGCGTTGGATGGCACGCGGACAACAACAGCAACAACAATTTTCACACTTCTGCCAGTGGCAGGTGGGGCCAGGCAGAGGGGATTGAATGACAATAAGCAAAACAATGCGGTATTTTGTATGTTTTTTTTTTTTTTTTTTTGATAAAAGCCACTTTAGGCTGTTGTTGTGCCCCAAAAGTCGTAGCTGCAGCGGATGGGCAGAGGCGGCACTGGTTGGGGGGGGCGGGGCGGGGCTGAAGGGCAGCTGTTTTGTCTTGGGCCGGGCCTGCGGACTGCGGCCGCTGTTCAGTTTTTAGTTGGCCATAAATGTAGCTGGCATTGTTTGCTTGTTATTGTTGTTGTTCTTGTTGTTGTTGTTGTTGTTGTTGTTGTTGTTGTTGTTGTTGTTGTTGTTGTTGATGATGCTGCGTGCGTGGGCGTGTCTCGTATGTTGCCCTTTTGTTGCCGGGGCTCGAGCGCCAGCTGCCTTCGTATCCTTCGTTCTGGCTGTTGTTGCTGTTGTCCCTTTTAATTGTTTGCAATTTGGGTTTTTAGTGCTCCACAGTTGCGTCTGCTGCTTCTTGTTGCTGTTGTTGTTTTTTTAAATTGTTGTTAAGGCCTCATGTCACTTTAGTTACGAGTTGCTGCTGCTCTTTGTTGTTGCTGCTGCTGCTGCTGTTGTTGTCGTTGCCTGTGGGAAAAAAGCGTTTACAAATGATTAAATTTAGGTTGATATTAATTTAGATGGTCAACGTTTAAGTTTGTCTCCTTTTGCCAGTACACAACACTCAGTACATAAGCACGCAATGAAACCAAAGAACGAACACACAAAACGCAGGTCAGGAAGTTGTCTTAATTATGCTTAAATATTGCCGAATTGAATGAATATTGTAGCTATACACCCACACACACACACACACACACCAGACACGCCCACACACACACACAAACACAAATATGCAATTTGCTTCAATTAAACAAAGCCCCAAGGCGCGGGATATCCAAGGATGCGCAGGAGAGCAGCAGCTTTTGGAGTTTATTTATACATGTGCTCATACATATGCATGTGTATGTGTGTATGTCTCTCTCTCTCTCTCTCTCTCCCAGTGAGTGTGTGTGTGTGTGTGTGTGCACATGTGCGTGCGAGTGTCTTATTCTGGGAAGTTCATAAACTGTTGTGGCAAGTTTAATTAGGGCGCAATCGAACCCAACTTACACATAAGCCGGCCAATTGCGTATAAAGACGCTTAATTATTAATTTTGCGCAGTTGATTGATATCATTAATCAATCAAGTATCAATTTAATTGTATAGAGACTAATTTGTGTTGCTTAGTGCTCGTTTAGGTTAATCACCGGCAATCATTAACAACATTAATGATAACAATAAAGTTTTCATCAATCAATAACGTGTCTATTATTAATAAATGAGTTGCTTAGTGCACTTTTTAAATCAATCATTAACAATCATTATCCGTATTTATTAGCACAATGCCATCAATCAATATGCACATCTAAGGTTAGCAATCAATCATCAATCAATCGCAACATTAACAACTTTAATGATTACAATAAATTTTTCATCAATCGTCAATCAATCACGTGTATATTTTAACACCTAATGTTAGCAATCAATCATTAGTCAATCGCAACATAAAACAGCATTAATAATAATAATTATAACAAAAAAGTTTTAAACTTTCAATTCAACAATCATTGGCAATATTAACAATAACAATCTAAAGTTAGCAATCAATCAACAATCAATCGCAAAGCACATTTTCCCATCAATACAAAGGCTCAGAGCATGCAGTCCAACAATTAGTTGCCAATAAAACGCGACTGATTCAACAAGTTAACAATGACACCCCGACCAAACACAGAGCATCAAAGTTGACAAAAGAAGTAGATGCATCAATGCTTATCAATCCGATTAGCATTAAACACAATCAGCTATTCAGCTCAATCGGCAACCAGAGCTGCTGAAACAATGCGATAGGCGGACAGTGATGGGGCCAGAGGGCGACATTTAAGACTTGAACTAGGAACCGGAATGGGCATTGGCTTTGGAATTGGTATTCGAAATGGAATAGATACAGCGACCGTGTTCGTTTTGGCGCTGACAGAATGTAAACTGTTAAATCGTAAGCCGCATTCATAACATGCCTTTCATTTTATGTCTAACATTTTACATTTGTTAAAAGGACATCGAGATTTATTACGGCAACGCATTCGTTGAACGAAAGGTGGGCATGTTTCTAGACACCGCAATGGGTCAGAGATTTATTGAAAACAAGACACGCACACAAAAAAAAAACACAAGCGTGCTCTAGTCGGCAGTTTTGCTTTCTGAATGAACTTCGGTCTCTATGGTCCGATCCTAATCAAATTTTCAGCGCTTAAATGTGCCCTTTAAATGGAATTTGTTTTCTGACAATTTTGTGGCTCATGGAGGAGACAGTAAGGAGTCTACATATCAAATCTGATGCAGCTAACTGCCATGCTGTGGAAATCGTACAATACCAATATACCCGTTTTTGCCCATTTGCAATGGGAATCAGAAAAAAAAAAAAAAAGGAATGCCAAACACTTGCCGGGCAGCAGGCTGTAAACATGTCGCAGCGCCCGTAGATAAGATTCGGATCAGACATTGTTTACTTTTTTGCAGATTTGATTTATGCGGATTGACATTAAATCTGTAGCCGTAGTCGGTACAGTCAGCCAGGGCAGTCAAAGGCTTAGCAAAAGGCACAAGAAAGCGGCCATTAAAAGGCAACGGGTCGAGCATTAAGCTGATGCAATTACACAACAACAAAATCCATTACGTATACGCAGACGTTCAATAAAACTCCGCTCGGGCGCCGCGCTGGCACCTGTTGGCTTTGATAAATTGTATCTTTGTATATATATTTGTTTATATATATGTATATGTATGTATATGTATAAGTATATGTAATTATACTGTATAAAAGCCAACTCAATATGCAATATAAACGAGCTGACGACAGCGGCTACCCCGCTACCCCGCTGCCATGCTGCCCCCTCTCGCTTGCGCATAAAATGTAATTATAAAGCATTCAAATATTCAATGGGCGTGGGCGTTGGCGTTGGCGTTGGCGTGGGCGTGACTGCCCAACAGACTTAACACTTTGCGCCGGAACGCTTAAACGGCTTAGTCCTGGCGAACAAGAAGCAGCAACAACATTTATGAGTCCTCGCCCTCAACTGTCTGTTTGCTCTGCTCGCCTGGCCCGAGCCAGAGTTTATGGGCTTATGCTGTGTCTATATGCACACAACGTAGTGTATACAGAGTATATAAAAATATATGCCTACACTTGTAAAGATTTACGTACACATCCGCTTACTTCAGGCTAATGCACTTGCCGCGAGCAACAGCATTTGGTCAGGAAATGTTTTATACAGATTCTTGTTGAAATATCTTAGTTGAAGTCAGTATAATGTTAGACAAAGATATATATACTAGAGCAGAGATACTCGGTCATTAGTATAGTTATTGCAAACAAATTGTCTTGTCAACAAACATTATCGGTTTGAACCAGTGCCCTTACTTATGGTTCGATTCGTGTATCTGAATTTCGGTTGCAAGACATAAATTTGCATTTTCTCTTCATATGAAATATACACACATCGAACAAACCTTTTCACGTTTTGAACCAGTGCCTTCACTTAAGGTTCGACTCGTGAAAAGCAAGCTTTACAGCTGTCAATTGAACAATTGCGTTGTCTTCTTTTTTACCCAATTAAATCTGTTCAGCATTCGGTTCGCGGTAAATAAAAAGGTAAGACTCCGGACCTAAAACGATTTGTCTTCAATACAAACTTTTTCACAAAACAGCCAAACAATATTGTTGATAATTTAGTTAAAGAGATCTAAGCTGGAATTGAGTTCTTATTGGGATCTGGCATATCTGCCTGGCGCTGGCAAGGGCATTTCAGTTTCGACAGAATGAAAATATATATTTCCATTCTTTACTTACGCAAAGTTGAGTTTTTGTTTCTTTATTTTTTTTTTTTTGTTTTTTTTTCATATTTTTCTTTTTACATAAAACTCAATGAAGCATTCAACGTGGAAGATAAACAGTCAGCCAGTAGCAGGAGCAGCAGGAGCAGCAGCAAGTTCAATTTCTGCTCCTGCTACTCATGATTTCAATTTCAAAATTTACGCTTCATTGGTCAGTAAAAAGCAAACGCGGTGGGGTTCAACTTTTCCCCTAGCCCGCCCCTACCCCCCTCCCCACTCCTACTATTCACCCCGCTAACTGCCAAACCAGCAGCCGTTGCGTGGCCACAAAATGTGACATTAAAAAATGGTAACCACTTGTCAAAGTCACCCCATATACAATGAAGCACGCCAGCCCCAGCCCCAGCTTCAGCGACATCGAGTCTTGTCAAAGTCATTGCTCCCAGCTCCGGCAAACCCTACTTGTCGCTTCGCGAACCACCCCATCCCCAACTCTCGGTCACTCTCTTGCTCTGATAACAAATGAAAAAACTTATCATCATCGCATATTGCCATTGGAGCAGGTCAAAGATTGCGGCACAGCGAAAGTAAGTGCCGGCACACGCGGCGTATGCGCAATTCCCCGAGCGACACTTCGACGAGATTGCGGTTAATTAAAAGCGTCCCAGCCGTCCGACGACATTGTGCCAGACGCTGCTAATCGCCCTCATCAGCTGACCAATCAGACTAGTGCCTTCTGTACCCCCCTCCGCCACCCCATCCCCAAGAACGCCCCTCTCATCCAGCTGGGCTGGAGACTTACTTTTGCGCGTCTAATAAGTCCATTCAAAGTTGCCCCTGGCTCGCGTTCTCGCTCTCGTTCAGAGTTTACAAATTATGTTTAACATCAAATGAAATCGTCTCATCAAAATTTAATCCCAACCGCAATCCAGCAGTCGAGCCGGGCCGGGCCGGGACCTGCCGCGCCCTGTTCCATTCACACCCGCCCCCCCTCGGCAGGCGAAAATCAAGCAATTTTCATGCGAAATGTCGCAATCGAATCGCATTTTAATCTCTCTCCTCTTTCCTCAATTTAAATCTATATATTTATTTTGTAATTCAATTTGTGCTCGCTTAAATTTAATTTTATTATTAATTTGCTTATTTGCTTATTTACTCAATTTATGTTTGTATTTAATATGTAATTCGATTTGTTTACCATAATTAAAAACACGATTATTTTCAATATTATTAATATATGCTCATTTTGTCAGTTCATATTAATTACACGCCGAACCAATCATAAATGGATATAAAGGGTGAACCCTTATTTGTGCAGAATATGGCAGAAGGAAGCATCTCCAGCCCCATAAAGTATACTATAAATACTCTCTCGATCGGCATCAATAGCCGACTCGATCGAGCCATGTTCGTCTGTCTGTCTGTCCGCCCTTTCATAGATATGAGCTCGAGACGATTCCGATAATCGATAACTAGGCCCGTTTCCAAGCAATCGATAGAAATCGATATCGGCATATATATAGAGTATCTTTAATTTTATAACAATCATCTTATAGCTTTTCGTTATTTTCTCATCGGAATTAAATTGTACTCTGGACTTTCAAGTAGAGACGGTGACAAGTAGTGCGGTCGGATACGGGTTCGAGTCCAACTGTGTAAAAGCGTCAAGGGTTAAAATGTTTTTATTAGGCAGCCGACCCCATATTATTAA